TGCTGAACCATATTCAAAACTGAGTGTAGGATTGTACATTCCCACCAACAATACATGATAGCTCCAGTTGCCAATACTTCTTCGGTTGTCAATATTTTTACTTCTAGCCACTCTGTTGGGTGTGTAGTAGTATTTCATTTTGATTTGTACTTTAATTTGCATTTCCCTAATGAATAATATTTTCTCCCACTCTGCACCTTGCCTCTTCATTTTCTTCATGAAGTCCTTCTAAAAGAACAAGTGTTTAGTTAATGAGTTCCAATGTGCTGATTATTTCTTTGGTAGACGGTCTGTGCTAAGAAATCTCTCACATCCCAAGGTCATGAAGATTTTAACCTATATTTTCCCTTAGAAATTTTAAAGTTTAGATTTTATGTTTAGGTCTAAGATCCATTTGTTATTTTTGTGTACGATGCAAGGTAAGAACCAAGGTTCTTTTTTTCCTTATAATACCTAATCGTTCTGGTATCATTTGTTGAAAAAACTGTCCCTTCTCCATTGAATTTTCTTGGCATCTTTGTTGATTCAACACTAAATATGTGTAGGTCTATCTTTGGACTATCCTGTTGCACTGATCTATACGTCTACCCTTACAAAAATACTGTGTTATCTTGATTGCTTTAGGCTTAGTAAGTCTTGAAATCAGGAGGTTTAATAACCTAAGCATTCCAACTTTGTTTTATTGCTTTTGGTTTTGTTTTTTGTTTGTTTTTTGGCTATCCTAGGTTCACTGTATATAAGTTTTGTACATCAACATGGAAATTTCTTCCCAGAAAAAGCCTGCTGAGGCTCTGATGGGGATTTTGTTGAATCTACAGATCAATTTGGGGGAAATTAACCTCAATAATGCTAAGTGTACTATGCATAAATACGACATATTTCTCCATTTATCTAAGCTTCTATAATTTCTCTTATTACTATTTCATAGCTTTCAGTGTAAAAGTCTTGTTCTTTTCTTATAATAGCTTTCTCTGGTTTTGGTATCAAGATAATATGATTCATAAAATGAGAGGAGGATTACTCCTTTATTTAATTTTTCTGAAAGAGTTGGTGTAAGACAGCATTAATTCTTCAAATGTTTGATAGAACTCATCAGTGAAGCCATCTGAGCCTGGAATTTTCTTTGTGGGAAGGTTTTAAATTACAAATTCCATTTCTTTCATAGATATAGGGCTATTCATATTTTATATTCCTTCTTGTACTGGTAACTTGTGTCTTTTAAGGAATTTGTCCAATTCATCCAATGTGTCGAATTACTGAAATTTGATCATATTTCTTTATTGCCCTTTTACTGTCCGTAAGATTTAGTGACAGTTCTTCATTCATTCTTTATACTGTTAAACTGTGTTTTCCTTTTGTTTTCCCTTGATCAATCCAGGCAGACGTTTATCAACTGTACTGATCCTTAGTTTTTGTTTCATTCATTTTCTTCTGTTATTTATATTTTTTATATTTCACTGATTTCCACTCTGTTATTTAAATGCTTACAACTTACATGTGGGATTAAGTTGCTACTTTTCTAATCTCTTAAAAAGTCAGATCACTGAATTTAAACATTTCTAATATAATCGTTTAAAGTTATAAAATTTCCTCTGGGCATTGACTTAACTGTACCTCACAGATATTAACAGTCTGTTTTCATGTTCATTCAATTGAAATTATTGTCTAATTTCTCTTGATATTTTTTCCTTGAACTGTAAGTTATTTATAACTGAGTTGATTCATTTCCAGATATATGGAGATGCCCAGATATCCTTCTGTTATTGAATTTTGGTTTAATTCTGCTCTTCAAAAAGCACTGGAGAGAATTAAAAGACAAGCCACAGACTGAGAGGAAATGCTGGCAAATCATATACCTGATTGAAGAATTGTATCCAGCATATATAAAGGATTTTCAAAGCTCAAGAATAACAAAACAAAAAACCCTCTTAAAAAAGTGGGCAAATGATGCATACAGACACTTCACCAAAGAAGATATGTGGATGGCAAAGAAGCATATGAAGAGGTTCTCAACAACATTAGTCATTAGGAAAAGGCAAATTAAAATCACAATGAGATATTACTACACTCCTATTAGAGTAGCTAAAATTTGAAAAGACTGACCGTATCACACATTGGCAAAGACGTGGAATAACCAGAATTCTCATACACTGCAAGTGGGAATGTAAAACGAAACAAACACTTTGGAAAACAATTGGGCAGTTTCGTAATAAGTTAAACACAAACCACTATAAAATCCCATCAATTCCACTTCTAGGTATTTACCCCAGGGAAATGAAAGCATACACCCATACAAAGACTTGTACATGAATGTTCTCAGCAGCTTTACTCGTGATGATCAAAAACTGGAAACAACCCAAGTGCCCCCAACAGGTGAACAAATGGATAAAAATGAGTGGATATCCATATAATGTAATAATATTCAACAACGAAAAGGAATAAATTACTGCTATAACATGGGTGGATCTCAAAAAAATTATTCTGGGTAAAAGGAGCCAGATTAAAAAAAAAAAAAAAGAGTACATATTGTTTGATAACAAAGAGGCAGGAGCAAACTTTTGGAAATGATATATACAGTAAAATTAAAAATATATGTATTGATATTTGGTCTCTGTCCTGCTTCTTGGCACAGGGCTCCTAAAACCGGTGGAACTTCCTGAGTGACAGGAATGTCTTATTCATAAGGAGCCCTTTTCACCCATACCTGAGTTTATGCTAATGACTTGGAAAACCCCTAGATAACTTCAGGATAGGACTGATTGCCAGAGGAACCAACCATGTGATTAGACGATTGGAACTTCCCGCCCTACCACTTGATTTCCAGGAGGCTAGAGACTCAGTTCAATTACTAACAGCCAATGATTTAATCAATGGGGCCTGTGTAATGAAACTTGAATAAGAACACTAGAACGATGAGCTCTGGAGAGCTTCCAGGTTGATGAACCCGTCAATGTGCTGGGAGGGTGGCACTCCTGGAGAGGGTGTGGAAGCTCTGTACTCCACTCCTTCCCATGAGACCTTGCCCTACGTAACAACCACTTTGCAGTTCCTGAGTTGTACCCTTTACAGTAAAAATAATCCCAGGCGTAGGACTTTCTTGAGTTCTGTGAGTTGTTCTAGTGAAATCTCAAACCTAAGAAGGTCATGGGAAGCCCAAAATGTG